ATATCTCAAGATTTTTGACAAAATTCAAAGAATAGTTTGTAATTTAGTCGACTCTCACCTGGCACCTTGACTTTCTCACCGACATCACGTAGCTTCCTTCTGTCTTTTCTACAAATATTTTCATGGCAATTGTTCTGATGAACTTTTCCACTTAGTGCTCATACTGCATGAATTTAGACTGGCAACTAGGTTTCACTTTTGAGCTAGCTAAATGCAATCGTATGTTCGATTCTAACTTTTTTCTCGCACTTCTCGTTTGTGGGACTCCCGATTTCTTGCTTCTCTGCCACTTACAATCTTCAAAAATTAAAATGCAACGTCAATCACCATTTTCTGTTTTCCTGAATCCTGTTCCTTTATTGTTATTTTCCTCGCTTCTCTTCACTAAAGTCTTCTTATTCTCCTTCACTCTCTGTAAACCCTGCGACCTAGTGTCATTATCGCCTTGCTTGGAATGAAACAATAACAAATAAATAAAACACATCAAATGACCGCTGAGAGTCTTCCGTCGATTTAAATCTTGCATACTTCTTAGGTTTATTAAAGAAGTCACAGCTCTGGAAAATCATTTTCCTGTAACTCCTTATAACTCCGATAACTTTCTCTTATGTTATTTGGTTTTTGCATCGACCTAATAACCTTGTCTTTATCTGTCAAGTTTTACTCTGTTTTCAGATATTGTCGTATTCGTGACGGATTCTAGCGTCGTACATCGTTCCAATTTGAAATTTATGATTATCGTTTGTTTCTATGGAGTATAAATATGATTTCTGGTAATAATTCATTAGAATTATCAGACAGTCTGACCTCGATGACTGATATTATACAAAATTCGGGAGTCAGTCAATAAAAAAATTATTGATTTATTGTAGTTTTAGTTATTTATTAAGCGCTTTTTGGTAACATTTGGTTAGTTTAAAATACGTCAGATTTTAGTAATTTTTACGTATTTTGATTGGTATTTGTATTATTATTGTTGACGAAAATGAAATATTTGGTTTCAACCTTTAGAAATTAGCACTTTGGTAACTTTAACTTCAACACATGTTTCAATCGGTCGAACATAACACGAGTCGGACACCATTTGTAGGTGTCAAAATGCTCCTTACGACACATCGAGAATACTAAATTATCGGAGATGTATGCCATGAAGAACTTCGCCAACCGAATCAAAACGATACGCCCGCAATAGTCCCAAGAGTCATGCAAATGACGTTTTTCTCTACTTGCTTTATTTACTATCATTTGCCAACTGTTGTTGAATAGTTCTAAACAATACATATTGCTTATCAGTAAGCCTTAATAAACTCGATATTTAGCCAAGATCTCCCCACAAGGCTGGATATGGCACAAGGCCGGTTTTGAACTTGGAACTATCCGGGCGCGTACGCTCGGGCAAAAATTCAGGAGGCCGGGTAACTGTATACTTTTTCCCTGACGAGACTGCACGTAGGCACAGCCTAAGTTCCTCTCTGTCCGAAAGCACAGAGTCTGACAAGCTGGGCTTTGATAAACGCTGTATTTACACGAGACCTCCCCACAAGGCGAGATGTGACACAAGTCCCGTTTTTAACATGGGACTTTCCAAGTGCGTACGCTCTGGCAAATTTTCCCCGTAGATCCCGCACACATGGGTGTAACGATACGAATCTTCACACATCATTAAGAGATAAGTAGATAGATTCCTTTTCCTTTATGTCAACTTAAGCACCCAAAACTTTCAGGAAATTCGTCTCTAGTCCATCTTTAAATCAACTTAAGTGTCAGAGTTTTTCAGGATTTCTCTCTCCAGCTGTCTTTGAATTAGCAAACATAAAATGATATTAGATAATCATAAGTGTAGAATTTTTTGATGATTTGACCACCCACCTGGATTTCTGGTGGTCTCTTATCCCGGAAAACATTGGGACGGATAGGAATGGTCGGACCCCAGCCAATGTCCATTTAAACGGAGGGGTCGAGCAGTCAGTAAATAAGTAAATAGGTGACCAGTGAGTGAGTAGCTTCCCAGCGATCAGGGTGGAAGAAACCAGCAGAAATTAGGGAGATAACAGTTCAACCGACCGAAAAATAGACAGCTAAGTGAGAGTAGGTATTATTGTTATTTCCCATCCAGGGAGTCTTGAAAAGCATTTGTCGTTATTCTTTGTGAATTCGATTACGGCCAAGTGGACAAACCGGTGCACATAGCTTAGCCAACCGACCTTGGATATCATCAGGTTGTGCAGTGACAGACGAACGGAGCACATCATCACACGGTGTCGGGTGGCTGTCTGTTTTTTCCAGGACGAGTCTCTGCCCGTAAGCAGAGCCTCGTCTGAGTTCCTCTTCGAACGAAAGCAGAGAGTCCGACAAGCTGAAATTTGATAAACTCGGTATTTACCAGAGACCTCCCCACAAGGCAGGATGTGGCACAAGGCCGGTTATTAACGTGGCAATTTCCGAGCTAGTACGCTCGGGTAAAAATTCCCTGTAAACTCCGCATACACAGAGTTAGGCTGCTGTCTACTTTTCCCCAGACGAGACTCTGTTCGTATTTGCTGTCATAGCCAACATACATTTAGTTTCACTTTCTTTTGCTAATGACTCCAGCGTGGTGAGTTTTTCATCTTCCGATTGAAATCCCATGGGACAAAATAATCTCATACAAGATCCTTCCTTATTCACATGGATCTCCCGACTTCCTATTAGTCATCATCACCGTGCTCTTCACCTAGCTTTATTTCTTCAGTACCATAGATCGAATGTAATTACTGCTTGACTCTTTTTAAGCTAGTCTTAACACGACAACATAATCTGGACAGTCATGACACCAAATATAACATATGCGGCTCGGTCTTTAAGCATTTAACATGATTGTTGAGGACACGATGCAACATCTCGCGACTATATAAAGTCATATAAGTGGACATCCAACGATTTTCTCTGTCTTTACCTGAAACTAACTTTTAAAAAAATCATATCTCCCGCTAGTATAACCGGAAAAAGTGATTCCTATGGGCTATAGCGACTTAATAGGCCGGTGTATGGAGATTTTATCTAGTATTTCCGAGAAGGTAGAATATCATTGATACTGGCTTTCACGTAAGAAGAAACCTCTATGGCACAATTGTCAATAGGAAGGTTAAGAATATCAATCCAAATAGCTTCTCATATTATCACATCGATCAGCTTTTGTTGCTCGCGAATTTGATAAGAATTAAAGTATTTCTGAAGCAAGGTTGGTATTTTGAGTATTGCCTTTGTATCATTCCATTTTCTCTAAATCAACAAATCTTATCAAAAACTTTATCCCCGACTTAATTCTCATGTACACAATTTCCCGACTTTCTTGTTATTTTCTCCTGCCGGGTGCTCAGTTTTATTGTGAATTATTAAAAAGAACCTTTATTATTTCCTACTTTCATGAATTTTCACCTTAATGAATAAAGCTTCTCTTCACAGCTCCAAGCTACCCAAGGGATAGTTCATGCACCCTATGGCTATTGGGGTCATAACTGTTATAAGATGTCAAATGTAATCCTGCAATGTTCCACTTCAGGTAAATGCCTCAATGGGTTGCCTATATCTGATTTACATCATAAAAGATTTTATCCTAAACACTTGGAACTAGCTGGCAAAATATCACAGGAGAAATTTCTTTATCAAATCAAAATACAGGATATATTTAAAAGATTTCTAATTTGCATATACATTATGTAAAATGAGATAAATATTACTGGAGAAGACAAACTTATATTCTGCAAAATATCAGAAGCCATTTGTATTTTCATTTGGAAAATGTTTTCAAGTGGTTAAGAATTTGAACCAGTATAAAATTTTAAACTTCACATTGAAAATAATGAACTTGACTGAAATTCTAACTCAGCTTTCCAATTCCTCAATCTGCTATCTAATACACCACCATGCTCCCCATACTGATTATATTTATATAATTCAAAATAATAAAACAAGAAATTAGTAAAATATCTCATTTCTTTATTAATAGTTTTCTTAAAAATTTATAAAAATAAAACAAAATATTCTTCATCTTGTTCTCTGGAAGTTACGAGTTCAGTTCTTGGGTTAGGTAGTTCAGGAATACTCCAGATTAGTCGATGAGTTTATTATGGTATAATAGTAGAACTATTAGTGGACTAATTGAAAGATAAAATTATTTACAGTATTTACATTAGTCGGACTATTGTCCTCATCTTTGTCGCCATATTTGTCACAACGTTTCGGCCGTTGTACGCTCCGGCCTTCTTCAGGTGGTTGGGATTTCCACCAGAACACCAGAAAGCTATAACGCGAGGGGAAGTAGAAAAATCAGGCGTGGCTGACCACATATGGAGAGAGAAGGGAGATCACCGCCCCCTGTGGGATCATGTTGAGATCATAGACAGGGAACACCATTGGAAAATTCGTAAACTTAAGGAATCAGCACATATGCTAGGCCACAAAAATCTCCTGAGCCGACCAAGCATAGAAATAAATACAATATGGGAACCAGTAATAAGGAGTGCCAGAGAAAAGCAATGATAACAAAGTTGCAATATGAACTCTGGTAAAGACATGCAATGATAACAGCAAAAAATTGCAATATGAGCACTGGTAAAATGATGCTGAAAACATTAGGTTTATAATACTCAGAAGTTCATACCCAGATGTCCTCAAGGACACATGGCACAGTGGATAAAGGCATTGGTTAGATCCAGTGACAGACCCAAAGAAGGTGAGTTCAATTCCTGGTTAAGGCAGTGGAGAACTTCAGAGGGAAAATTAGCGGGAGATAACTGATAACTGACATCCATCAAACATGGCACGTGGAATTAGAACAGTCTACCCCAGCGATCGAAATAAAGGGTTCAGTTCGAAATTCCAACCACCTGAAGAAAGCCGGAGCGTACAACGGCCGAAACGTTGTGACAAATATGGCGACAAAGATGAGGACAATAGTCCGACTAATGTAAATACTGTACATAATACCTCATCTCAGAAATATAGACAAAATTATTTACATATTTTGAAAACTTGCAGCAAGTTTGAGGCAGCCAACAAATGCTTGTTTATGATGTAAAACCATTTTCAGTGTATAATCTCCTTTTGGTAAGTGGACTTGAGGAACGTCGAATTTAGTGGGTGGCAGAAACAATTTTCCCTTGAGAGAGAAAAAAGACAATAAGATAAGTTAGAAATATAAATACATCTGTAGAAGTGTCAGGCTCAGTGTTGAAACATGTCAAACCTGTACCAACAACAAATCACACTAAAGTTGATGGATACACGAGATTGATGAAGGTCTTGCAATAATGATGAAGAAGACTGACTGAAATATAAGATTTTAACAAGATTTAGTTTATTTTAGCTGTTGATTAAATTAAACAGGTGTCGCAGATATTTCTAGTGCATGTTGTAGATTTTTTCTTAATGAACGATTAACAAAGATGGGATATCCGTAGACATGAATAGCAGAATTAAAATAATTTACACTGCAAAATTAAATAAAACCAGTGAAATATGTCCACGTGATGTATAAATTATGCTATCTAGAAAGAATTTACACTTTTTCCACAAAGATGAAATGTATTTATTGTTTATTGGATTATATATTGATATTTTAAAATTTCACATGCCTTGCTTGGGACGGATAGAAGTTAGTTGCGTGTAGTCAAGTTAGAGGTCTTTGTATATGGCTACGTATATTGTTGATCAGGCCAGCTTGTGAGATGAAGACACAGCTATAAATATGATACACAAAAACTGTATTGTCAACTTCCATTTGCAGTTCATTTTTGTGGTCTTTTTGCCCTTGTATGACTGCACCTATTTCCTCCGTTTTAATCTGTCAATAGTATGTTTCCCAATTATCTTGACTGATTTTAAAAGCTGTTAGTGGTTTCTCTATTGAATTCTTAAAACATGCTTTTGGTTTATGCTGTAGCCTTATGTCTCCCTCTGTTATGTGCTTATTATCCTTCCCGATCAAATGATCTCTCAAAAATAGGCTAAAGGGTTATTTGAGGAAGTATTATGTTCTTTTGATTTTGATAAGAGATCTACTTGATCACCCACAACATTATCAAGACGTCTTACATACACTCCATTTGTCGGATACAAGTTCTATTGCGCAAAATGTGAAAACACATTCTAGTTCACCTTTGCAATACAGGAAAATACTTGTTAACAACCCCAATATACTATACCACAGAAATAATAAGCACACACTTCAAATTCTCGAGGCCCTCTATGTCAAGAACAACCAACTAACACTCAACAAAATTTATTAAGAGTGTAGCAGCAACGCGTTGAAGTGGATTTACCAAGCATTTAATGCCATTTTGCATTCTTACCTATTTCTGCTGGGCTTCATATAAGGGTAGGTTATAATTAACTTCGGTGGTCAGATTGCAATAAAAAAATAAATATAAATAAATAAAATAAAGAACCAATAAATAATAATTATATTACTAACTTGCAATATCATTCATAATATCATTACTTATATTGCAAGGTAAAGAGTGAACTATGTCTACAATTAACAGTAAGTTCATTTCTTTGGTCCCAAATTAGAGCCTGTGTTAATGTATATAAAATAGACCAAACCCGGATATAAGAGAAACCCGGGTATAAGAGACTTCTTCTCCGGTCCCGACAACTCTCTTATATCCGGGTTACACTGTATATATATATATATATATATATATATATATATATATATATATATATTAGTGTTTGGGCCTTTTATATATATGATTAATAATGTGAGTAAAAATTTGTCACTTAACTGACTGATGTTACCTTCTGCATCCCGACCAGAGTTTCGTAGGCAGACCTGTCCACTCTCCGGGTGTATACATATATAAGGTGTATTTAGAGAGCAAAATTTATTTTCGAACAAATCCTGTTAATCAACACTGATAAGGTCTGTCTGTCATTACCAAGAATTACGTTTTTACCTGTAGGTTGTTTATATATTGAGGTAACAGCATCATTATTATGTCAATTTCATTTATTTTCGTTATTTATAATATGTTGATTGATATGTGCATGGACTGCACTAAATTATCTCCAAGTGGAAATAAATATCATATAGGACTTCACTTAAATTAAATTAAAGAAACCCTAATGTTATTAAATTTCTGAAAGACTTACAAAGCCTTTCAGAAATTTAAGGAAGCAACCAACATTAGGGTTTCTTTCTCCATAGGAAATTGTATATCAAATTGTGTGTAAAAAAAATAAAAAAAAACAATAAAAAACTTGAATAAAAAAAATGAAAGTTTACCAATTTTAATTCTAACCTAAAACAACTTAGTAGCATTGATTAATTCATTCAACATTTACCAACGAAATATGACTTCACTTTCTAAATATTTTTAGAAATTGATAGCGGAAATAAAACACCTAAAGTTAAATGATGGGAAATTCTCAAACAAGCGAGATCGGTGAACGAACCAAGCTTCCTCTGTCTGCAGGAGAAAATGGAAATAAGTTCTTAAATAATGACATATTACTAAATCAACGATATGAAACTACAGAAAATTGTAAACATTAAAGAATTAACCTTACAGTCCTGCTAAACTTCATAATTCAATAATCATTCCTCTTAGTCTTTTGTAATATTATCTTTATATATACATTTTTAATGTTATCGTTCGTGATTTATTCTAGCTTTAGATATTGGTTAGTATTCGTAAATTACTGGGAGTATGCTTATTATTATTATTATTATTATTATTTTCTTGCTGTATTGATAATAGTTTCTAATTTAAAATTAATATAAAAATATTAAAATTCATTTTATATTCTAATTTATAATGTAAGGTTGATTTTTTAAGTAATGTATTGCTTCTTAAAGTGTCCTTTATTTATGTTCTATGGATAATTTTGTTTGAATATGTGATTTCATAAAAAATGCCATAAAATTTGAAATGCAACATTATTATTAACCAATGTCTCTATTACCGTTTCATTTCCATTCAAATTTGAATTCTCTTATTCAATATAATTTCATTGGTTTAATTCGTATTAATATCTGTTATTTTTTAAAAACTTTCCTCTTCCTTTATATCTGTGTAATTTTAAATATACTCTTCTCTTTCTTTTGCTTTTCTTTTTCGTTTATTATCTTGGTAGTAAGGTTTATTTCTTATGCTTTCTTTTGCCTTTCTTTCCTTTTCCTTTTTTTTTTGTTGATTTCTTATTTTCTTTCCTTTTTTCTTTATAAAAATCCTTTTTACTTTGTATGAAATATTTTCCAAAAACGGAAAATGAAGTGACATTTCATAAATTGCCATTTTAATTGTTATTACTATCATTGTTAATTACTTGAAGAGACGTTTTATTTAAACGTCGAAACAAAATGTACAATTTTGTAGTAATTAGTTACATGTTCTAATGTAACAGCGTAATACATACACACACTCACTCACAAACACACACTCACTCACTCACTCACTCACACACACACACACACACATATATATATGCATGTGTCATTAAAAATGACAGACAAGGTACTATGGTTATGCTTTTTATTTAATTTTTCTTGTGTTGGAACAAGAGCTTTCATTTTGGGACACAGAGTGTATAGAAACTATCTAAATGTTCTATAGTTTGGAGCGCTTTCGGCTAATACTTTTAGCCATTATCAATAATGATTTTATTTTTTTCAGTTTGAGTCTGTGCGTTATGTGTATGTTTTTAGTGTGTTATAGAGATGTTTTAGTTCCGAACACGGTTAGCACATTGTGGCCTTTTTCGTAGTTAATATTTTTAAGAGTTGTTTTTTTTTTTCTTTTTTATTATTAGGGCTTCCATTATTTGAATCTTTTTTTTTTTTTTTTACAGGTGGATGAGGTTATTATGTTTGTGTTTTCTACTAGTATGTTTCGAATGGAATCTGGTAGGTTTGTGTGTGTGTGTTTAAATGGCTTCAAATAAAGCCTTGGTCACATAGGTGCAACTTAAGGCGTCTGAATAGGCATGTAGTTGTGTGACCGATGTAATTATTTGAGTTCGGTTTGATCAGGAACACAGTTCCTTAAGGGGCATTTGAACTCATAGATAATGTTCGTCCGTTGTAATTTTGACTTATATGATGTGTTGTTATTTTTGAGGATAAGGTTAGCTGTCTTACATTTTTTATAGTAGATAATTAATTTGATTTTTTAACCGGGTCGAATTTAAATTAAAATCATCCTTGATAATGGCTAAAAGTATAGCCGAAAGCGCTCGGAATTACAAAACATTTGGACAGTTTCTACACACTCTGTGTCCAAAAAAGAAAGTTCTTGTGCGAACACAAGAAAATTAAATAAAAAAGTTTAACCGTAGTACCTTGTCTGTCGTTTTTAATGAAACATGCATAGATGAAGGATTGGTGCTTAAATACACTATATATATATATATATATATATATATTATTGACTTTCTATAACATTCTAAAAGGTAATGATATGACAATATGTGAGTGCCAGGTACTGCGATAAACACATTCATTCTGCAACCATGGCAAAAACGGTTTCACTTGACAAGATGCTCCGAATGAACATAGTTGATGCGTACAAACAAGGTGATTGATATGCAACCCATTCTAAGCATTTAAATGTTCTTAACTCAAAAATTCATAGAATTATCAAGATTATTGTGATGAGAATAAATTAAGGACTGGCAGAAAACGGTTAATTTCTGAGAGAATAGAAAGAAAAATTGTTAGAGATGTCTTGAAGAATCCTCACCTAACGACAAAAAATATTGTCAATTATGTAAAGACATCAGCGTTGAATGTGTGAACGAAGACGGTCACTAGATACTTTCATCGAGCAGGACTTCGAGGTTGTTGCACAAGGAAAACGCCATTGCTTAAGGCTAAACACTTAAAATGCAGATTAGCTTATGCTAGACGCCATCTAGAACATAGGAGTAAATATTGGAACTTGGTCAGCTGAAACCAAATTAGATTTGGTCACATGAACTCCCATTATGTGTGAAGGAAAGGGAATGAATCTCACAAACCCAAAATTACCTTTCATACAATTAAGCACGGTGGTGGGAGCATTCTGCTCTGGGGATGTTTTGTTGCTTCTGGGCCAGGAGAACTAGTGAAAGTACAGAGTATCATAGATAAAGAGTAGTATATGGCTATTCTTAAAAAACTAATATAAAAGGAAGTGCACGAAAGCTGTCTTTCGGGTGTCACTGGACGATCCAACATGACAGTGACTCAAAAGTCACCGCACGAATTTTTACAAAATACTTAGATGACAACAAAATTAAGGTATTGGCGTACACCGTACAAAGTCATATCGTAAACCTCATTGAAAAAATTATGAGAAAAAACGTCCTTTGAATTTGGAGGAACTAGAAGCTATTGCCAAGGAAGTATGAATCAAAATACCTATCAGTATGTGTAGTGATCTTGTAAGGGACTACAAAAATGATTAAAGGCAATAATCAAGAATAAAGGTTACACAATTGATTATTGACACAATAATTTTGTCCTGTTAAATGATTTTTGCTGTTTTTTTTTTTTTGGTGTAGGGGGATGTAATATTGTTTAACATTAAAATAAAAATTTTCGTGTGGACATCATTATACATTCTTTCAAATCCATTATTTCATCATTTATGAAAAAATGCACATGAAGTTTCCATCAAAATTTTGAGGTATTACAGATTTATTTGTAATTATAGAATTGGATGTGAATAATTCTGTCCCCAACTATACACACACACACACACACACATTTATATATATATATATATATATATGTGTGTGTGTGTATGTGTGTGTGTGTGTGTGTGTGTGTGTGTGTGTGTTTCGTGTGCTGTTTGTAGATAATATTTAATTTAAAATGTTGGTTTTCTCTCATGCTAGAATAGAAATGGGGGTGGGGGTAAAGTTAACCCAAATCAAGCTACAATAAACAGATTTTTACTGCATTATCATAACAAATTCATCGACGTGTCACTATCATTATCCTTGTTATTTCCATCAAAACATTTTTGCCAATCACCACCAAACCCTAAACAGAATTCACTACACACTAATACAAAAGACAACTACCAAGATGTCCCATCACAAAAAAATATATCAGTATTTTATATATGAATGGAGGAAAACTATTGTATATGTTGTTTTACTTGGTATGTGGATTTTCTATGCGTATTAAGTTAGTCTGCAGGCAAGTGATCATAAAACCAAAGTTAGCTGGTCATTGGGTATTCTTCCCTAGATAATCGGTATCACGCTATGCAAGGCAGTAAAGCCACTAAGACAAAAGGGGATTACAGGGTATGAAAGAATTAGGCACAGAAACATTAATAATGAGCGGAAAGAGAAAAGAATAATCAGAAGAACACTAGATAGCGATTGACATTGCATTGAATCTTTTGCAGATTAAACCTGACTGGACAGTATGGAACCGGAAGAAATTTTTCACAAGTAAGAAGTGCGAGAAATAAACTGTTAGCACAGAACTTACAGCTACATCTAACTAGCTCATCTGTAAATTAATAAGATCTTGACATCAATCTCGTACTGAGCTTAAATTCAAAAAGCCTAGGTATCATACCGAAGAGCTCATCTGGAGAATTACCAATGAAAGTATTTATAGAAAAGACATAGAGGGGCAACATTAGGAAAATGACTGAAGCTGAGCCACCAGATCAAGACCCGATAATATTGGTGATTTTTCTTTGGATTTTATCAAGGAGCTCAACGTAAATAGCAGGGAACTGGACCATATGTATCAACAATAATCTGAGCATAGACGAACGGTAGAGTTATAGATATGTAAGATAGATTTTAGAGGGAATAATTGTCTCGCATGACACAGTGGACCAACTTTCATATCAGCTGACCTTGATGTATTCAATGTAGTCTTTCTACTTCATGTCAGCCGAAAACGTTAGCCCGAGAAGGCGCAACGAGTCACTTTCCTGGAGGTTAGCATCAGCCATGCTGATGTAAGGCAGAAAGGAGTCTCTCAAGATGATTGATGGAAGGAAGTTTACTTTTAAAGATGTTAAAATTAACAAGCCATTTTTTACTCTAGTTCACGACGGACTTGAGGTCGTTTGGATATCGGCTGCCATTTTGACCTTGTCGGACTGATCAGTCTTAATATTGAGGCAGGAGTAAATGGTTGTGTCATTATCATAGATACCAAGTTGAGAGCTGATGTCGTCAGGGAGGCCATTAATGAAGATTAAAAAACAGAGTAGGATCAAAGAGAGACCCCTGGGGAGGGGCACCCACGTTAGTACGAACGGATCTAGACGAGTGGCCGTACAAGATATCTTTCATTTCACGATTTGAGAGGAAAGACTTGAGACACCGTAACTTTTCATCTTGTGGGGAATACCTATATAACTGTCAAAGGCTTTCGAGATATCCAATGCTAAAGCCCCGACTTCGCCGTTTTTATCCAGAGCATGTTAGACTCTTTCCTCAATTATCATTAATACATTAGCAGTTGACCAGGAGAAACAAAAGCCATATTGCTTGTCTAAATAAAGACCCTGCGATGAAAATTGATGAACCAAATCGTCATTGATTATGGCTCCTAAGAGTCCCAATAAGAGGTAGAATGCTAATAGGCCGATAGTTGTAATAAGAGATGATGACTTTCAGCACGCAGGAAAGCAGCAAGGCATTTATTATACAGCTTAGAGAGAATAAAAGCCAGTTCGGGAGCACACTTCTTAATGCCTATTTCAGGGATATCATTGGGTCCACATACTTTGTAAGGATCTAGGTTAGAGATGATAGCAGAAATCATGGAAGGGATTATATGCATATCACTCGACAGAGACTCCGTTCTACGTTGATAGTTAGGAAGGGATAATCCAGATGAGTCAAGAGTAGAGTTTAGGGAGAATTAACGGGCAAAGCATTCAGCTTTATCAGCAGAGAATTTTAACACCTCAAATTGATTGAAGAGGGGAGGAATAAAGACCTTAGCCTTATTTAGTAGCCTATTACAGAACACTTTCATTCTATGGTAAAAATTGACAGAATTTTAAGGCGTACCTGAAAATACAATCTACAGCCATGCCAAATGTCCGAACAATTACCCACTTTAAATCAATGACCCTATATAACATTGTAACATTGTCAGATATGACAAATAAAATACCTCTTGTTTTTCAAAGATATGATCACTTAAAAAACGAACAAAAAAAGCCTAAACAAATGAAGTGTATACCTGTTGAAGTTTGTCAGTTTTTCTGATGCCTAATTAAGAATAATATAACTCACTTGTTTGAAAGGGCAGTGGCATGTATCAAGTACTTTAGGGCAGTTTTTTATTTCATCCAAACGAGTGCACACGTCTATCTTATCACATGATCCAAAACCGTCTATACAAGGAATCAGAAAGCTACTTTTTCCAGGTCTCCATTTCAGTGTCATGTCCGCCTGGAAGAAAGAAAAAAACAAATATATATTGATGTATATTGAAATGATCATATATATATATATATATATATATATATATATATATATATATATATATATATATATATTAAGACATGCATGTCTCATTAAATAATTCAGATAAGTTTTGTCTACTTATTTTTAATAGGGTCCTCTCATAATTATGAACAATTTTCTTAGTATACTTATTAAAGGAAGAAAAAATTACCATGCTGATGAATATTCATTTTATTACGAGTACTTTCGATATTAGGACAATGTCATCATCAGGGTGTTATTTTTTCTAAGACAAAAATTGTTGTGTTCAGCATTTTTCAAAGAGAAAATTGTTCTGTTCATCTGAAAATTAAATTTTCACTTGTAAAGTGAAAAACGCTAATGTTATGTACTATACGATTTTTAAATTTTAGGATGTAAACATCAAGGGAGGTAACTAAATTATTGAAATGTCTAAATATTTTTTTAAACTATTTAAAACTATTAGTTAAGACCTAGATATTTTAAACTATCTACCGTAAACATTTTAAAACATTTATGTAGTATTCATGATTAATTTTTATTAAGGATTGGTTTCAATTATTTTAATATAGAGAGATTCAAGAATTTTTAGTTTATGTTTGTTATTCTTATGAAAAAGTACAGATGCATTTTCAACAAGAATTTTCCTAAATTGCGAATGTGGACAGGCAAGCTGTTGTAAATGTTAAGAGATGTTAGATGCTTTTATTAATAAATATACATTTTATCTCACCAATGACACAACATAATCGTCAGATACTGAATGAAAACTGCTCAGTTTCCAATCAGCACCTGACGATTACGTTGTGTTACCGGTGAAATAAAAAAATGTATATTTATTAATATATGCAGCAATAGAAAACTCCAGCTAAGTCACAAGTATTCTACTCACAATCAACTTTTATTTCCTGTCTTACAAGTGTTCAATGTTCACCACCTGAAGCATGGGTAAAACATCAATGCGATCTTTCACATATCTCTACAAGAAAAAAACACACACACACGGTGTGTTCTGTTGGGTCTCGCAGGCCAAGCACAGAGAAAAAGGTCTTGGTAAGTGGCTGAACGAGACGCAGTCTGTAAGGTTTCAAATGTAGACGTCTTCTTAACACACGCCAGATAGTGGATTGAGAGCTATCAAGTTCACGGCTAGCTCGATTTGTGGACTTAAGTGGACTCTCCTCAAACGCAGCACAGATTCTCGCCACTTTTTCCTCTGAAACTCGTAGTCATCCTGGACTTTTCCCTTTACACAGACATTCATTCCCTTGAAACTGTTTAAACCACAATCGAATGTTCTTAGGAGAGGACAGATTAATGTCAAATTACCTTCGAAAAGCACGCTGCACGGTGACAAACGTATTTGTTTTCGAGAACGCATTTTGCTGAGGACTGGTCGGCGATACGACGCGACTACAGCGCCCCTGTGGCAGCGATTCAAAACTTAGAAAACTCCTCTTTCAAATGGTCACTCATTCCATGACGGTGCTTATAATTTGAAGCAATGCGTTAAGAAATCGGTTCATTCTTTTTTATATATATATATATATATATATATATATATATATATATATATATATATATATATATATATATATATATATACTGACATGACATGACCAAATATCAATCTACAAATAAGCATTTAAGAATTATCTCTGTACATCCTCAAACATATGTACGAAGAGGTGGGAGGTGGAAACAGTTATTTTTTAGTGGAATTTTCCAGCCTCTCCCCATAAGCTTGTAGTGGTCATCCATTTACTAATTTCTCACATTTTGACCCTTTAAATGATTTTCTGATACATCCTTTTATTGCATACTAAGAAAAATTCCAACTCCCACCTTATTAGTGTATTACTATTATACTGACATAAGAAAAGTCATGGAATAGACCCCAAGTTAGGTGAATGTAGCAGACCACATCATTTGTTAGAATCTACAGAATACTACTAAAACCAATTCTGGGCAATTTGAACTGTCCCTGTCACATGATATTTATAGGTGAAAGATCTCATAAGCTAATAGACTTCTATACCACCACTCATAATTTAGGCTTATGTTGGCTAAAGGTAGTACATGCTCTTCAAACCAACTCTGGGCAACCGATGACATGGACCAGTCGATACAGTCCATGCTTCAAACAAAGGCATAAAACAAGTGAAGTTTAACGAAAGTTTAAGAAGAAATAAGTTTTGTTAACTTCAAAAAGTTAATCTGAAATTTATGACTAAACAAAATTACATGTCCAAAAGTCAACTATGTTGCAACTGATTTTGCTTTATACTTTTTTTTAAAGTTTCTACCAATAGCTGATGCTAGTAGCACTATAAAAACAGTAATGATCGAAGAAAATGTAAAATAATTCGAACTAAAGATGATGCTCAAATGAACAGTAAAATTAAATTACAGCAATGTGGATTTGTAACAGTCAATATTTGGCAAGCTGAATAAATATAAATATATAATAGAGTTTTCTTAATTAAACATTAAAGCCTGTTAATTTTCATTAGTGTCATATGAAAATGGGTAAAAGGTGTTAATTATTTGAACAATAGAACAAAAGTACAAACCAAAAGACCGTGAGTAATCGTCTCGTGGATTACAATATTCACTGAAACCAAAATAGTGCCTGGCAAAACTATAGGATCTGGAGTCACACTGATGTCCTTGAATACGATTTTTGAAGATGAATTACCACAATCTGACCATTCAAATTTCATGAGACTCTGTAAAGCAAAAGCAGTTTTTTGTTTTTAATATCTTTTATTTTTATAGCCTTAATAATATTAATAAAGAATGAAGTCTGTGCGTGTCTACAAATAAATGCTGAAAAATAGAAAACTTGGTCATTTGATCAGATTTTAGAAAGTGGGTTGTAATGAGAATTTTCAACATCCTCTATATATATATATATATATATATATATATATATATATATATATATATATATATATGATAAAATATAGTTTTAAGGTATACTGTATTTATGGGTTAAATAAGGTATACTGTATTTATGGGTTATCAGGGATAAATCGTATCTAAATATAAAACTGCATATTGAATTCAACACCTAGAGGCGACAGTCTGTTTCATGCTAAATGCAATTGTCAGGCCATCCTGATGCCTTGTCGATTGGGTTTAGCATGAAACATAATGTCGTCTCTGGATGTTGACTTCAATATCCACTTATATATATATGTATATATAAATGTGTGTGTGTGTTTTCGACACATTTTGGATTAACTTCTACATTTATTTATTTGCAAAATTCCACTGACCATAACTTAAAATGTGTATATTTATTTGAATGATCTTTAAAAATCAGACTGGCATGTGCAAACATTTTTCACACTAGCGAAGACAAAGGAAGATCCTCTAGAATTTTCAGAATGACTAGATAGGGCACACGTCGGCATTATTAAGTCGAAAATTGACAAACCACTTATGTAATCTCAGTGCGATAAAGAAGCATTTAAACAACCACATACAACTACCTGCTCCCAGTTCTTGTATGGAATACTATCATTCTAAGAGCATCTAATTGTTAAAGACATCTTGCGATAATTGAAGTATTTTATATAAAACGTTTTAAGCCAAGTCTCAACCTTATGTTGCGTTCTATGTCTCAGGATCCCCACGATATTAATAAAAATGATATGAACGAAAAGGTTCATTTACTTTTGGAATTCGTTTTATTACCCCTGGCAGCTTGGATTATAAGAGATAGTAGTAAGATTGACGTGATAGAAATGCGTGTCAGACGTTGGCTCCGCGGGTGGTATAAACCGGACCTAAACTTGGGTGTGGGAGGCATATCGACGCTTCAGAATTCTCGTGACCCGCTGTTGAATTCGCGCCGTTTTGGACATATTCAAAACCCAGACAAAGGCAATCTATCACTATCAGAATGCCCCGCCCACGAGTCACTCCAGCCAATCATTGACCATTCAGGTCCTAGCCTTCGCATTCTGAAACACTTACCCTGTTTGAAAACATTAAAACATGTTAGTGGTCTTTTCAAAACACATCATACATGGAATTACCACTAATCGTATCTGGCACAGCTTAATCCCTAGAAACAATTTCTACACTCCCTTGGTCGCCATAAAAGGAAAACTGAAAAAAAACTTCAGAAAACTGAATAAATAATTTATAAAATGTTCCTTGTTTTTCACATTCTGTGAAACATGTATAAGAGAAAGATTTCTGACCAAATATACAATATATATATATATATATATATATATATATATATATATATATATATAGTGCTGGGCAAAAGTTGAAGAAAGAACTTTCCAACATATCGAATTACTCTTGTTTTATAAGACAGAAACAAAATACATGATATAATAAAATAATTGTTACTGATAGAAAAGACAGACAGGTGCCTGTGGGTCGGTTGGCATGAGGAAAGACAGACGCCTGTGGGTCGACTGGCATAAGAAAAAACAGACATCTGTGGGTCGGCTGACAGATGAGTGTGACCCCGCTGGCATGTGAAAAGTCAGATAGATGTCTGTGAACCGAATGGCATGAGAAAAAAACTCATAGACTGATTTAAGACTTCATTTAAATCTAACTGGTATAAACCAACTGATTTGGTATACTTTTCATGATGTGATAAATATACCACGTGAATTTCAGCATGTAATAACTTTTTTATTAGAAATATTTATAATAATTTAAACACAATAAATATTTAAAACAATAAAACAAATACAATGTTTTGCAAGATAGGATTGCACAACATTTCCTTTCGTGCGCCTTATTTAAAAAATAAAGCATTATACACGTGATTTAAAATGAAAGATTTCAAAACAATCTACAAAAAATGAAAAAACTTTGTAAAAGTAATGCAAAGGCAAATTTTTTAAAAAAGGCAGAAAATACAAAATGTACATCCACTTAATAATAAGACGGAAAAAGTGTCACCTCACAAAAGGAGTTTATATAATTGCGAAATAATGATATCACGGAGATTTTTTATAGTCTGTTAACAGGTTTCACTTCCTTTGCAAATTCTTCTAAGGAAGCAGGCAAAAAATGATTTCCTTTTTTCTTTTTTTAATCTTTTTTTCCTTTTTTTAATCTGCCTTTTGAATGAAATTTTTGTGGTTGAAATTTAGATTTAAAACCTTCTTTCGCATTGATATTTTTAGAATTAGCAGTTAAAGAACCACCAAATTATTTCTTTCTTTGTGGATTGTTATAAATTCATTTTTTGAATTAACAAAAAATGCACTATTTTATTTACTGTCCAATCAGAGGCGTGAGATATTCTCATAAATTTTTGAAGTTAAGGTCTGTCTGAAGACTAATGATTTCCTATATAAAGAGATTGGCCAGCAAATAAAGATAAAACCTTTTTTACCAGTGCTCATATTGCAATGTTCGTTGTTATTATTGCTTTTCTCTGGCACTCCTTGTTACTAGTTCCCATATTGTATTCATTTCTATGCTTGGTTGGCTCAGGAGATTTTTGTGGCCTAGCATATGTGCTGACTACTAGAGTTTACGTATTTTACAATGATGTTCTTTATGATCACAACCTGATCTCACAGAGGGCGATGATCTCCCTTTTATGGTCAGCCACACCTGATTTTTCCACTTCCCCTCGTGTTACAGCTTTCTGATGTTCTTTCCCCCCTTTATATTTATTTCCGCAGCTGCACGGGATAGTGTACACGCAATCTTTAGTCATGTTCTCCTCTATGGGTGGGTGGCGTCTTAGTCGGGAGAGATATCTGCGAAGTGTCGTCCACCTGAAGAAGGCCGGAGCGTACAACGGCTGAAACGTTGTAACAAATATGTAAGATGAGGACAACAGTCCTAATAATATAAATAGTGAAGTCACCTGATGTTTTTCAGTCATAAAAAATTCTTTTATTATAAGATAAAACAATTTAGTGTCACAAAAAGTGTCTGAAATTTCAGAATTGCTTACATTTTTTAATTAATTATTTTTATTTTTATTATTTTATGCTACTAATAATTTTTTATATTGTTGCTTTCATTTTTCGCCAATAATGGCTAGGCTGGTTTTCACCTGCTGAGGCTCGAATCTATATGAAATTCGAGACACCTTAAAATAATTATACATGATTATTATTTATTAACGATTACTGCTCTATAACATCAATAATGTTGATGATTAGTAAGGATTTCCGGTCCCACTAGGGAATGCGGATCGAGTGGAAGTTTTATCTTTGTGTTGCTTCGGTTTTTCAACAGCCAGACTCATAGTTTATCTTTCCACCCTAAGCCCAGTGGAACATGGCGTCAGAGAGAGAGAGAGAGAGAGAGATTTAGTTCTAAAATAGGAAAATATTTTATAGTAGAAGAACAGGATCCAATTAAAAAAATATTGAAAAAAGTATCATGTTTAAATTAACTACAACAGAGCCGTTCGAATTTACCAATCTGGGAAAATTGGTAGAAATGGTCGCAAAGATTTCAATGCTTTCAAGAAGCTGAAAATATATTTCGGACATTTTCTTTCTCACGTCGAGAAGACTTAAATGTGTACGACATAGTTTTAGAGAAATTCAACGCCTACTTAATGCCAAAAAGAAAACATAACACATGAAAGGACAAAATTTTATCAAAGAACCAGTGGACACCTTTATTCGTGCATTGTACGAATTAGCAGGATTACGCAAGTTTCCAAAGAAAAATTACCAAATTAGAGACCGTCTTGTGATAGAAATACAGTCTAGGTACTTCCATTTTTTCGCTAATATTTTCAATACGTAAGATTTTAAATGAATTTTTTAAAATGAAAACGCATTTTTGAAGATTTCTTTTTAGCTTTAATTGAGAGGTAAAGGATTAAATCGACTATTTCCGGTAGGTAAAATACTCTGGTGTATTTCAATTAGAAATTATATAGATTGGAATGTCAAATATTTGGTCGCTTTCAAAAAATCTGGCGGCCATTTCTTATATTTTAACAAGTTTTAAAATGAAATTTAATTATCGGTTTTAAAAATCTTCCAAAAATAAAAAATATATATTTGTGATACGTTATTTGAGTAAAATTTAAAGTTAATCTGATCTCAAACAATATTACTTATAGCATAAAGAAATAGTATACAAGCATTTCTTAACGACCGGTCCTGTTTTTCTTTTGTCTTTATTGACGTATCAATAAGCTCTCAGGCGTTGACACCTAGTATGGATGACCAGAATTCTCATAAATTTACGAAAACTAAGTGAACCCATTTTTTTTTTTTTTTGGTTTTTAAATACCTAGTAGTTTTTACAAATTAACATATTTTCAGTAATGATCTAATATTTTGACTTTTAGTTACGTTTGAAGATGCTTTATGAAAAAGTAATGAAATTTAAAATACTATAAAATTTTCTTAGATTAATTTTAAAATTTAATAACTGAGATGAAATACCATGATAGAGGTAACTCAATAATTTATGACCCACACTAAAATAAATACATAAAATAAGAATATTTTGTGAAATAGAAATTTAAAAAAAGTAAAACTTATTTTAAATTTTAAAGTTTTAAAATTGAAGGGATGATGTTCAAAACCTGTTGAAATGTAAGCAATGAATAACGAATTGGAGACAAGCGAATTTCTCTGTAAAAATAGGACAACTCTTAGAACACCTGGCTTTTTCATAATGATGTTACTTATAGACTACCATAGATGAAAAATGGGAATGCTTAAAGTAAAAAGACAAAAAATTAAAATTACTTTTAAAATAT